ACGTTGACACATTCATCATAACAAGTTTTTAATATCAAATTATCAGATTTCGTCAACTTCAACCAATATTTGAATACTTTTAGCTTTCTTGTAACAATTAATGGTAGTCTACCCAATTCACAATAAACTAAATCATTGAATGTAGATTTACATACTCTAAGGACTTTTTTGCAGAAATTCAAATGAACTCTCTCTATATCAGGAGCTTTGTGAAACCCCCATATTTCTGCACCATAGCTTAAGATGCTGCTGACATAAATATCAAAGACAGAGCATTGGGTTTCCAAATTCAAACAATGGTTCTTTAAAGAGGATGATAATGAAAATAAAGCCTTTCTTCCTTGGTCCGCTAAATGCTTTTGGGTTTTATAAAATTTACCATTATAATTAAAAAACATTCCCAAATATTTGAAACAGTCAACAATTTCTATGTTCTCATTATTATATTTCCACACTTCATTATTTCTTATGTTTCCCCCGTTTCTAAAAACCATGACTTTTGTTTTATCAATGTTGACTTCCAGATCCCATTTTCTAGAGTAACTGTGTAAGGAATCTAACATGTTTTGCAATGCAGCTGGACTATCAGCGAAAAAAACCATATCATCAGCATACATTAGCAGGAAAAGGTTAAGCATCTGTAAATCAATACTTGGACAATTATCATTAATAAAATTAATTTCAAAATCATTCACATACAAAGAAAACAACACAGGTGACAATATTTCCCCTTGTAAGAGACCGGTATAATTAGGGAAACAATGACTTAATTGACCCTCAAATTTTACACAGGATTTGACATTATCATACAAAGATAATAATATTTTTAAAAATTTTCCACGAATACCTTGGTGTATTAATTTACTCCACAGTTTTCCTCTATTAACAAAATCAAATGCTTTTTTTAAATCTATAAAGCAACAGTAAAGTCTCTCTTTTTTACGCAATTTCTTGTTAATTAATGTTTGTAAAACAAATATGGCGTCAATGGTTGAACTGCCTTTTCTAAAACCAAACTGAGCATCTGTTATTATACAATTTTCTTTTTCCCATGTCATAATTCTATTATTCAAGATTGATGTAAATAATTTACCAAAACAGCTTACAAGTGATATACCACGATAATTATTAGTGTCGTTAATACAGCCTTTCTTAAAAACAGGAACAATACATGCTTGTGACCAAGATTCAGGGAAAAACCCAGATCTAAAAATAGCATTAAACAACCGTTCCAAATATGGCACCAGAATATGCTTTCCTTGAATAAAAATTTCGTTTATGATTAAGTCTTCACTACAACTTTTGTTTGATTTCAGGTTTTCAATGGCTTTAACAATTTCTTTTGTTGTGATATTAGAATCAAGATCTTCATAAACTGACTCTATATTAACATTAGGAACATGTTGGTCAGCGCCATCATTCTCCTTTTGCGCCAGATATTTAAAGTGTCTATAGAAGTCATCTATTGTGAGTGTATTCATAGCTCTGTTCGACTTCCGATTATTAAAGATACTGTAAAATTTTCTTGGATCATTTCTTTTCAAAAGGACCAGCATGTCGCCTTCATATCGTTTATAATCTCTTTTAAGTTTAAACACCAACCTTTTGTAATTACGTTTGGCGGTTATTAATATATTGTAATTTTGATTTGATTTATCCCGGTTAAAATTAATCAACGAATTTCTGTATTCAGTATATAGATCTTTGCACCGAGGAGTTATCCACGGTTTATCTTCAATAACAACAGTTTTAGTGCGGTGATCGCGGGAGTTTCTCAGAGGGGTATCTCTACACTCACAAAAAGGTAATGTACAATCATTTAATATTCTACTTATATTATTCACACATTCATCAACTGCATCTTGGTTATTTAAATCAACATTCAATTGTTCATCAATTAACTCACAGTTCTCACTTAATTTATCTAAAATTAGCATAGTATTCTCGCCTTTCCATTTCACAGACGTACAGGACCCTCTACTGTACATGGTATTGTAATCAGCCAACTCATTTACAATTTGAGTATCTAATAGCTAATACCTAATAGAATGCATACTAATAAGCTCCGACACCAGTGTAGTTTCCTTAATTATGATTTTTTTAGAGTTAACCTTGTTGAGAGTGCATATTGTAATTGTGATTATCCTTGTGGGAATGTCTTTCACTATTTTATGGAAGGTCACCTTTTTACAAACGAAAGACGTATTTTGGTTCAAAATAGATCTATGCAAAACTTTATTAAATCCAGCAAGAGATTTTTTATTCAAATTGTAACAACAAATGTATATATATCTATTGTCATTATTATAATGCCATTTAAAATGTATATTGGGAGAAGGCGTTGATAAGTTGTTATAACTTGTGCCTAACCCCTTGTCTAATTTTGGTAATAAATAAGTTTTAACTTATGCAGCACACCCGTGATTGTGTTGAATTGTCACCCTTGATTTTAATTGAATTACCATTGCAGTTATTGAAACGTTAATTTTACAAGTGTCATCAGTTAATTTTCTAAGACCTTTTTACCATTTGAATTAAAAACAGATTTACAATCTAAAAAAACTACCAGTGTTAGTCGAGTCAAAATTCGTGTATATACAAGATACGGAGATTTCTTCAAACCGGCATCCGGGTAAAATCTAGGACGGCCGGGCCGTCAACAGATTGAAATGTGAACCCTTACACGGGAACTGCTAATCAGCATACAGATTTTGTAACAGCGATATAAGGCATATATTCACAATGATCCAACCGAAAAAATAAGTCATTCTGGGCCTGGCTGTACAGCTCGACCGAGAAGCAAGGTTATTTGGTCACTGAGAAATTAACATAACTATGATAAACAACCAACGCGTCCGATTTAACATGGGATGCTAAACATGTGGAGAAAATGTAAGCAATGTTTATTTGTTAATTATTTTTGTTTCATCACTCGAGTAAGATCGGGTACAAAACTATTCGTTATTACAAGTAATATGATTGAATATCAAACACATACTGTTTTATAGACATTTAAACCTGTGTGATATTTACAATATGCTAAAATAATGAATGACTTTTATTAAACTAACAATGGCCAAAGGATAGCATCGTCATCCCAGGAAAAAAGTGATACCATGACGTCAGCACAAAAGAACAAGAAAAAAATACCCTATAGCGTCAACACATATGACAGAGCAGATCGCAGAAATGAAGTTGACCCCGCGACTGCGCATTAGCCATACCTACATCACACTTGGTTACATTTTACGTAAAGAAGACCAGCCTTATTGGTAATGCATGTGGTCGACCATTTAC